GTAAAAAAGCAACCAAATGACTTGCATGAATGCATATAAGCAAAACCAATGGACATAGAACAGTATGCATGTGCTGGAGGGAGAGAGTTGTCAGGAAGAGGTCAATTAGGGGATGGGGAGTAGATACATGTAATACTTTAAATAATTAAGAATTTAATTTTTTTTAAAAAGTAGACTGAAAATAAAATCAATGGAAAAAATATCCTCTCTTTCACGGAGGAGTGGACAGGGAGAGAAATAATGGCTGAAAACTACTCAAATCTGAAGCTAACAAGTCACCTAAAATTTTCACCCCCAAATGATCTCCAACACACATTATAATAAAAAAATTTCTTAAATCAAAGATAGAATTTTAAAGGCAGCAAGAGAAAAAAAACAAAACCCCTCACATATAAAGGAAACCCCTATAAAGCTATCAGCCTATTTCTCAGCAAACACCTTACAGACCAAAAGAAAGTTGGATGAGATATGCAAAGTGCAAAAAACCACAAAAACAAACAACAACAACAAAAAATTACCAAACAAACAAACACCTACCAATCAAGGATATTTTACCTGGAAAATCATCTTTCAGAAATGGAGAGATAAAGACTTTAGCAAGTGAAGAAAAGATGAGTAAGTTCATCAACACTAGACCTGCCTTATGAGAAATACAGAAAGATGGAATTGGTAAATCCTTTCAATAATTATTTTAAATATAAATGGACTAAAGTCTTCAATCTAAAAGCATAGAGTGGCTGACTCAATTAAAAACAAGGTCTAACATAGTAGACTTGTCTGTGTAATCATTTCATAAGCTATGTGTTTAATCACTATATTCTATACCTAAAACTAATATAATAGTATATGTCAAATGTAACTAAAAAATAAAAAAGTAAACAAGATCCAACAAGTTGCTGCATAAAAGAGACTCGCTTCAACTTTAAGGAAACACATAGGATCAAAGTGAAAGTATGGAAAAAGTTATTCCATGTACATGAAAACCAAAAGAGAGAAGAGTAGCTATACTTATATCAGAAAAAGTAAACTTTAAACCAACAACTGTAAAAAGGGACTAGGAAGATCATTATATAATGATAAAGTGGTCTATTCCTCAAGAGGATATCATAGTTAAATTATATATGAAATAAATGAAGTAGAGACCAGATAAACAATAGAAAAGATCAATGAAACTAAAAGCTTTTTTGAAAACATAAATAAAACATGACAAACCTTTAGCTTGACTAAGAAATAAAAAGAGAAGCCTCAAATATTTGAAAATGAAAAATTGATATCACAGAAATATAAAAAATAATAAGAAACTACTATAAATAATTGTTTGCCAACAAATTGGACAACCTGGAAAAGAAGGATATCCTAGCTGGCGTGACTCAATGGTTGAGCATCAACCTATGAACTAGGAGGTCTTGGTTCATTTCCCAATCAGAACATATGCCTAGTTTGATGGCTTAATCTCCAGTATGAGGCCTACAGGAAGCAGCTGATCAATGATTCTCTCTCATCATTGATGTTTCTCTCTTTCCCTTTTCCTTCCTCTCTGAAATCAATATATATATATATTTAAAAAGGTTAAATTTCTGGAAACATACAATCTGCAAATACTGAATCATGAAGTGATAGAAAATATAAACAGACTAATAATAAGCAAGAAGATTGAATCAATAATCAGAAATCTCCCAACAAAGAAAATCCCAGGACTAGATGGTTTTATTGGTGAAATCTACCAAATTAAAAGAAGAGTTAATTCTAGTCCTCCTCAAATTTCAAAAAAATTTGAAAAGAAGGTGATGTTACTAAACTTATTTTATGATACCAAAGTTACCTTGATACCAAAGTCAAATAAAGACTACAAAAAAGAAAACTATAGACATATATATCTGTTGAATATAGACACAAAATTTCTCAACAAAATACTAGCATATCAAATTCAACAGCACAGTAAAAGGATAATACATTAAGATTAAGTGGGATTTATCAACAGCATACTAAAAGGATAATACACCATGATTATGCAAGGTTGGTTCGATATACACAATCAGTAAATGTGACATACCACATTAACAGAATTAAAAATAAAAAAGCATATGATAATCTTACTAGGTGCAAAAAAATGAATTTTTCAAAATTCAACATCCTTTCATAAAAAAATATTTAAAAAATTGGGTACTGAAGGAATGCACCTCAACAAAACACTCCATGTATGACAAGACCACAGCTAGCATCGTACTCAAATGTCAAAGGTGTACAGCTTTCTCACTAAGATCAGTAACAATATAAGTGTGTTCTCTTTCAGTACTTCTATTCAACTTAGTATTGGATCCCTAGTTAGAATAATTAGGCAAGAGAAAGAAATAAAAATCATCAAATTCAAAAAGAGGTATAAGTTATTTCTGGTAATTTTTATTCAGTGCAACACATTGCTAATTTTGCCTTCTTGGATCTTGGCCATTTTTTTTTGTATTTCTATAAATAATATTCTTAAAGTATTTTCTGAGATACATTTAAGTTACTTGAAAACAGTTTGATGCTTTCTTTTAAAGTACTTCTTTTAAAAGTATTTCTTTTAGTGTTTGTTAGGCAGAAAAATGAATAGTATTTCGTCTAGGGTGTTTTTATGTGTGTGTGTGCTTTTTTTTAACTAATGAAGCAAAACTTTTCTGTGTATTCTACCTAGTGTCCTATGAATTATCCTAGTTTTCATTGTGGTTGGTGAGAACAGGAACACTTCCAGGTACTCTGTGATCTTAAATATTGTTCCCTGCAATTCTATCATGTGGTTCCTGCCTCACACATATATGTTGGTCAGAGAACCCCTACAGATTTCCAGAACTCTATGTGCATCAGTCTTCTCTCTGGTAGTCTGCCCTGAAAACTCTCACTTCTTAACCTTCCTCATACTTGCAATTCATTGTCATCATCTTAAGGAGACTGATGGGCTCTCTCTGAACTCCCCTCCATGCATTATGTTGTGAGACTCTAGTCTATAAGCTGGACCAATCATAAGACTCATCTTATTTGTTTTGTATCACTGTCCTTCATGGACATATTTTAAATGCCTTAAAAACCATTGTTCCATGTATTTTTCCAGTTTTTTTTTTTTAATTGTTGCAGGCTGAAGATATTAATCTAGTCCCTTTTGTCTTCTCATAGCTGGAAAATGAGAGTAGCTATAGTGGTCTTTTCAAGGAACAAATTGGCCATTTAATGTTAAGTGTGTTTTGACCTTTGGCTCAGCAATTCTAATCACTCTACTAATTGCTGGAGATATAGCAGTGAACATGATGATATACCTCCATATAGCTTAGAATTGAGTAGGGAGACAGACAACAACATAAATAAATAACCACATATACTAGGCTGTAAATGATAAAGAATCTTAGAAGAAAAAAAAAAAACTTAAACAGGAGCCCTGGCCGGTTTGATTCAGTGATTAGAGCATTGGTCTGTGGGCCAAAGGGTCACAGGTTTAGTTCCTTGTCAAGGGCATGTATCTCGGTTGCAGTTTGATTCCCAGCCTTGGTTTGTGCACCTAAAGAGGCAGCCAGTCAATGTGCCTCTAATATCAGTGTTTCTCTTTCTCCTTCTCTCCCCTCCCTTCTACTCTCTCTTTAAAAAATCAGTGGAAAAATTAACTCAGGTGAGAATTGAAAAAAACACACAAAAACTTAAACAGGAGAAGAGCATAGGTAGTGTTGGATAAAGGGAATCATGTCAAAGTTTTAGATACATTCACCTAGAAGGGCTTATTAAAAGTATATTTGACCATAATCCTATTTGAATTGAGAGAGCAAACTACATGGATATTTGGAGGTAGAGCTCTGCAAGTAGATGAAATTCTCACTGCAAAGGCCCTGGTGTATTTGGTGAAATACAAGGAATAAAAATGCCTAAGCAAATGCTCACAAAATTTTAGATATTTATAATATTGTTACTAAATAGTAGTGGAACCAGAAATATAACCCAAAACTTATGGTCTGAAAGCTCATCTGATTGCTATTATGTCATAGTCTCTCTTCCCTAAGCCATGAGACATTGAGACGTGTGCTATCTTGTGAATATTCTTGCATTGTTCTCTATCATTATCCATCTGTAACACAAGTTTGCCTTGTGTTTCCAAATATATAAACCCTGTGACTACTAGTATGCAGCCTATGTTGACTCTTTTTTGATAGAATGTTGGGCTCTGACATTTCTCTTTACGCTAATCATTGGAGTTGATTGCATTATTGCACTGAATAAGGCTCACCTCCCTCCCTCTGCATATATGTGTGTCCTCCCAAAGTGTGTATTCTTTGGCCAAAATATCATTCTCCACACACAAAAAAAAAAAAATGTGAGACACTATATAAAAATTTTAACTAAACTCCCTCTCTCATAAATCCAACACTTTTTTCATTTTCCAAAGCACTTTGTTTTTGCCCTATTTTTAATAAATAATGCATAAATGGTATGAAATTTTAAAAGATCAAAACGATATAGGAGTGAAAATAAGTTTCCTTCATTCTTTCCTCAGCCACTCAATCCTGTCTTGAGGCAAATAATATAATCAGTTTCTTTTATATCCTTTTAGAAATATTGAGTACATGTAGATATTTTTCATCATCTCCAAATCTCCCCTACTCATGCGATATACCTTGATTACAGTTTTCACTTCATTATCACCGCACCCTATCTGTGTTACAGATGAGGAAGCTAAGGCTCAGATATGGGAGGTGACCTAACTAAGGTTTCCCAGGCTGTAAGTGGAAATCCACTACTGATGTTTGAGTTTTTGTCTGTATTATTTCATCCACACTGAGAAATGCCAGATCCTATGCCTTGAACATGGTAGGAAATTTCTAAACACTTGCTGGTAGCTAGAGTGATTAAAACAATTCCCCCATTTCTTTCATTATTTTAGAATTGCTATGGCAGATTGGCTGGCATCAACTAGTAGTTAGCATAGGGAGATAAAAACTTGATCTTTCTAATTGTTTCCTGGAAATATTCCTCTTTTACAGATCTATTCAGGCCCACCTGAGGAAAGTGCTGCACCCCCAGTACCTCCACCTCGAGTGACAGCTAGAAGACACAAACCAATCACGATTTCAAAGCGCTTACTGCGGGAAAGGACACTTGGCTATCATACCTCTTCCCTAGGTGAAAGTGAAGGTCAGTACTAACATTTACCTCTAGCTGAAATCTGTGGATAGAGCGTCAGCCTACGGACTGAAAGATCCCAGGTTCGATTCTGGTCAAGGGCATGTACCTTGGTTGCGGGCACATCCCCAGTGGGGGGTGTGAAGGAGGCAGCTGATCGATGTTTCTAACTTTATCCATCTCCCTTCTTCTCTGTGAAAAATCAATAAAATATATTTTAAAAAATAACAAAATAAAATTTACCTTTAGCTTCTTAACAGTAATTAGACACAAAGAAGGCACAAGTAGAGGTGTGACCATTAAATGTAGATTTTTCTTATTTCCTGGGCCACTCAAAGCCTGATTTTAAAAATGTATGCCCAGAGAGCAAATTAGTTTTTTGGCAGTAAATAGGATGAGGATAAATCTATAAAGCCAGTTACCATAATCCCTTAGGAGGCCAGTGGAGGATCCAAGATGTTCTTAGATTTATACCTCAATACATAGAAATGGGTGAGCAATGTGCTTTCTGAATGTTCTGAAATTTTAATTTCAAACAGCTAAAATGGAGGAATGATATCAGCAAGATGGCTGAAGAACAGTTTCCAGAGCATGTCCCCTCAGGGTAACATCAATTTGTACAACTATCCATGCATCAACATACCTTCATGGGAGCTATGGTAGCCAGCTGAGAGATTATAGCACCCGAGTAGGATATAAAATAAGAAAAAGTACATGGCATATGGCAGGAAGAACATTTTTATATTACCCATGTCACTGTTCTCCCAAGTTCACACAGTGAAGTTTGAGGAAATTACCCTGCACGAGAGGGGAGGAGAATGAAGTGAACATGCAACTTCATTTTGGATACTAGCATAAGGCCTACCCCAGTTAACCCCGGTACCAACCCATTCCCTTCTGGCCTCTACAGACACAGGCTCCAGGCTAGCCTCAGAACCAGGCCAGCTTGTGGCACCAGGCTTCAGGCAAGCCATTGTTCCCCTAGTCTCCATGATATAACCATAGACCCAGCATCCAGGACGTACCCCTGTGTACCCAGCCCCAGTGATGCACCAGCCCTATGACCCCAGGCTGTAAGTTTGTCCCAGCAGATTCAGGCATCAGGCTTGTCTACCAAATGACCTAGGTTTTGGATCAGCCTTCCTAAGAACTCCAGCAACAAGTCCACCAGTGGATCTCATCAAATGGCCCACTCAGAATCTCTTGTGTGCTGACTTATAAAGGTTTTCTTTTCCAAAGCTACTCTCTAAAGACTGGAAGGTTTTCCTACTTCTTCAAAGAGACAACAACACAAGGCCTCATGGATTAGCAATAATTGCATAGATATTACACTCTCGAAGGAACAACATAAATCACTAGAAACTGAATCTATTGAAACAGAGGTCTTTGAACCGTCTGACTAGAAATACCCACGAGAAGTCCAAGAAAGTGATAGAAACCATAGAAAACAACCAAACTAAAATTCTGTAACTGAAGAACACAATGACTACATAGAAAAATTCAATAAAGAGCTTCAACTCAACCTTGACCAAGCAGAAGAAATACTTAGCATAAAGATAGGTAATATGAAATTATCCAGTCAGAGGAACAAAGAGAAAGAAAAAAAAAGATTGATTAAAAGTAAAGGAAACTTAAGGGACTTATGGGACATTGTCTACAAAGTAATATACACATTATGAGAGTCCCAGAAGGAGCAGAGGATGATAAGGGGAGAGTGGGGAAGGGGACTTATTTCAAGAAATAATGAAATAAAACTTACTAAATCTGGAGAAGAAAATGAGCATTCAGATCATTGAAGTGCAAAGAAACCTAAATAGATCAAACATAAAGAGATTTTCACCAGGACATACTATATTAAATTTTCAAAATACCAGGACAAAGAAAATTTTGAATGCAGCACAAGAAAAGTGAATCATCACATACAAAGAAACTGTAGCACTGTGAACAGATTTCTCAGCAGAAACCCTGTATGTCCCAAGAAAGTGGAAGGATATATGATAAGTACTGAAAGGAAGTAAAACCTGTCAACCAGGAATACTATACCTTACAAAGCAGTCTTTCTGAATGAAAGAATTATAAAACTTTTCCAGACAAATACTGAAGAATTTCATTACTAATAGACCTGGTTTCCAAGAAATTCTGAAAGACTTTATTCAAGTTAAAATAAATGGACACTAACAACATGGAAACACATAAAAATATTGAAAATTCATTGCTAAAGACAAGTATATAGTCAAATTCAGAATGTTCTAATACTATGAAGGTGTGTAAATTACTTTTGACCAGTATAAAAGTTAAAACAAAATTATTAAAAATGACTATAGTTGTAATATTTAGTTAATGGTTACATAATCTAAAAATATATAAATTATGATATTAATAACAAAATGTAGGGGAAGGAGAAGTTAAAATGTAATCTTCATGTTGTCTGTTACTTTGCTAGCAACTTAAAACAGACTGCTATATCAATGGAACAGATGTTTTATGTAAAATTTATGATATAAACACAATACCTGTAGCAGATATACAAAATATATACAGAAAGGAATCAAAGTATACCACTACAAAAATAAAATCATCAAAGAAGACAGCCAAAAGTGGAAGAAAGGAAGAAAAATGTAAGAGGAAGAAACAATTAAGAAAATGGCAGGAGCAACATGATAGAGGACAGGACTGGAGTGAAGGTTACTGTGTGAGTTGGTGCGCAGTAGTGTTTGTGGGTGTAAGTGTGGGAGGGCATCTTTCATAAGGAGCTGGGTGAGGGAGGGGGAGGGGAGGTGTTAGGGGTTGGTTGCTCCAGTAGAAGAGCTGCTGTGTACTGCACAGTCAGTTGTTTCTCTACACTTGAAAGTGCAGAGCATGCCATTTTGAAGGAAATACAGGGTCCTCTGTGGGAGGAGGCTGCAGAGAGTGGCCCTACTCCAGTCCCCCTAAGCCAAAGATGGATGCACATGCCCCCACTGCTGGGACCTGAAACCCATGGACACACAGACTAGACATAGCTGCTTGGTGTGCCTTGACTATGGGCATTGGAGGACCAGCCAGATGCTTTGACAAGCAAGTCTGGGGCCTGCCCTGCCATATTGGTGAGCAGAGCCCTGACCTTCCATGAGCTGAGCACCTGGCCCACCCCCTCTGTGAATGGAGCATCTGGCTTGCCCTGGCATATTAACAAGTTAGATGTTTTGCCCACCCTACTTCCTCCATCAGCAGAGCAGTGCCAAGCTCACCCTACCCCCTACACCACCTGAGCATCCTCTGACACCCCCTTGCATCAGTTGAGCAGCACCAAATTGGGCTGCCTCTTCCACCAGTGGAGTGCACAGCCCACCTCACCACCTTGACACCTGGACCAGGGGTCTGCTGCCCCCACACACCATGACAGACCAGGTGCTTCTGGCCAACTGGGCCCACTGCATTCATGTGGTGTGACCAGCCCTGCCACCATGGCCAAATGCCCCCAGATGCACAGACCTGCCACTGCGACCCACTGTGTATCACCTGGTACTCCTGGAAAAATAGCCCTGCTGCTTGAAACCACCTAGTAGCCATGGCCTGATGCACCCAAATGCACAAAACTGCCACAGCAACCTGCATAGTAGGTCTTCCAGAAGGAAAAGAATTTGAGCAAGGAATAGCGAACCTGTTTGAAGAAATAATGACAGAAAACTTCCCTGACCTTGTGAAGAAAAGACAGTCCCAATTAAAATGAACTGAAAAAGATTCACACCGAGACACATCATAATTAAAATGACAAATGTTAAAGACACGAAAGGAACTTAAAGGCTGCAAGAGAGAGACAGATGTTGCCTGCAAGGGAGCTCCCATTAGACAAGCAAATGATTTCTCAACAGAAAAACATCTGACCAAAATGAAGTAGCATGAAGTTTACAGAGTAATGAAAAGCTAGGAACTGAATCCAAGACTATTCTATCCAACAAAACTATCAATCAAAATTGAAGGTGAAAATAGGAGCTTCACAGATTTAAAAAAAAGGGGGAGGGGGCTAAAAGAGTTTATTACCACCAAATCTACATGTAGGAAATGCTAAAGAAGTTTTTCAAGAAGAACTAATAGAGAAAGAAGGAGTAAAATGGATATAAGGAATAAAAAGGGCAATGCAAATGGCTTAAATGCTCCAATCAAAAGACAAAGGGGTAGCTTGAATGGATAAAAAAAAGCGTTACCCATACATATGTTGTCTATAAGAAATTAACCTCAGAACAAAAGATTCACACAGGATGAAAGTGAAGGGATGTGAAATTTTTTTCAATGCAAATGGAAATTTAAAAAAAGCTGTGTTAGCAATATTTGTATCTGACAAAATAGACTTCAAAATGAAGGCCATAACAAGAGACAATGAAGCCAACTTCAAATCTTAAAGGGATTGGTACAACAATAGCATATAACTGGTGAACATATATGCACTCAATATAGGAGCACCTAAATACATATGAAAAAAAACTTCCGGAGGATTTTAAGTGAGAGATGGACAGCAATATGATCATAATATGGAACTTTAACAACACACTGACATCACTGGATAGATCTTTTAGACAAAAATAAAAGAAACTGCAAGTCTAAACAGTCCACTAGATCAAATGGATTTAATAGATATTTACAGAACATTTCACTCCAAAGCTATAGAATATACATTCTTCTCAAGTGCACATGGGATATTCACAAAGGTAATCCACATGTCAGGACACAAATTTAGTCTCTACAAATTCAAGAGGACTGAAATCATATCAAGCATCTTTTTTGGATCACAGTGACATGAAAATAGAGATCAACTGCAATAAAACATCCCAAAACATTCAAACACATAGAAGTTAAAAAGCATGCCATTAAAAATGAATGGATTACTAATAAAACCAAGAAAGAAACAAAAAAATCTATGTGACAAAGCAAAAGCAGTCCTGAGAGGGACATTCATAGTACTTAAGGCCTATCTCAAGAAACAAGAAAAATGTCTAATACACAATTTAACCTTGCAACTTAAAGAATTAAAA